CACAGGTAATTGAGAATATAACACAGGTAGGCTATGTCTACACTTGCGGCTTCTTGTGCAAGTACGGCTGTTCTTGTGCAAGAATCTGCAGAGCATCCACACTGCCTGCCCGCTCTTGTGCAAGAAAATTTACAGTATGGCGTGGTAAGAGAGGGCTCCTTGCGCAAAAGCTATGCTCTTTTTTGACAGGTGTAAGCCCTCTTGTGCAGGAGCTCTTGTGCAAGAGGGCAGTGTGGACACTCGGCAGGGATTTCTTGTGCAAGAAAGCCCTATGGCTAAAACGGCCATCAGAGCTTTCTTGCGCAAGAGAGTGTCCACACTGCCATGGGCGCTCTTGCGCAAAAGCACAGCTCGCACATGGCAGTGTGGACGTTTTCTTCCGCAAGACTTCTTGCACAAGAACCCTTGTGCAAGATGTTCTTGCATAAGAAGCTGTGAGTGTAGACATAGCCCTAGTGTCTAGCCCAGCAGTCCCAGCAAATACATCAGCCTTAGCTCAATGGCCACATGCCGAATGGGGACATTGGGGTCCACAAACTAATTATAATGAGCGTTATGCCTTAAGTAAAAATCCCGAGATTTCTCAAAAAACATGGCAACAAGTAAGTCACAACTGTTTACGTTGTCATCATTATAAAGCCATGAACTGGGCTACACATAATGCAGAGACCTTCCAGGCGGAGTATTTTAAACCAGGTCTGACAGTAGCATATTACAACTCATAGCCTGAATTCCTCCTTTGAAGTCCAGGAATGATGCCCATGGAATCAGTTCTGAGAGAGAAAATGTAAAATGTTTCTTTTAATCCAGAAAATATTGCCACTTGCACCATAAGAAGAAAGGGAATAATTTAAGTTTTTTAATATAGTGAAATCCTTGAACTCTTACCAGCTTAAAACACATATTCTGTACTTTGTCACATGGTATTCAGTATGCACCTAAAGATACTGCTCTATGATTGGTGGGGAGAATAAATGGTGTGGGTGGGTTTTTTTTGTTTGTTTTATTTTTAAACATATTTTGCTATAAAACCATGGCCACAGTTGACATGCTAAATATTTAATATTTAATGACAGGGTGAGCCAAAGCATCTGCCAAGATTTTTAAAAGGAGGTTTGGAGGAAAGGTTCACCATATCAGCTCATATTTAAAATAAATTATAGTAATGATGTTGATAAACAGAAAAAATATAACTGACTAACAAGGGCAGGATTTAATTTTGCCTCCCTTCATGTTTTATGTTGGC